CAGAAAGGCCAAACATGTCTCTTCAGAGCCAGGCCTACTCTTGGGTGCCACCTACAGAAGCTACAATTTTGTCCTGACCCCTGCTCTGTTAGGGAAAGGAAGTGCCCAGGGCTTGACCCAGACAGAGTCAGGTCAAGGCTGTTTTGTGGATTCAGTACCCATCCAAGAGCCCCAGATTTTCACTAGAGCAATGTCTTCTTAAACTCTGCTGGACATGCAGGCCCACTGCTCTTGGGAATGGCACACAGCCCAGCCTGCTTCTCAACACCGCATCCAGAGCTGAGCCTACCTAGAGGGAAAACTGTGGAGCATGGAGAACCCAAGAAACCCTCACTGCAGGTTTCATGGGTGGCTGTCTGGTGACTTTGACTAAGGACTTGGAATAGCTCATCTTCTTTATGCCTATGCCTTCCCTGCTCCACCATCCACCTGCAATGCGGTTAGCCTCTCTGACCTCAGTGTCCCCTGAGCAAGCCTGATGCTCTGCAGCAGCTCGGCTTGACTGAAGCCCTGTGCTCAGTATAAGGTGTGGCCTCCAGTGCTGAGGTTCATCTTACCTTTGTAAACTCCATAGCTAAGTGACTAAGGGATTCATCCAAGGCCACATAGCAAGCAGTGGAGGTGACAAGGACCTATACTGTAAGTTCCCAATTTCTTTACAGGTGCCTCAGGCTTTGTCAGGATTTCAGGGTCAGGGAGACCATACACCAACTCACAGGAAGCTAATGAAGTGAAGGAGTAGGTCCTCCTAGAAGGATGTGCCAGCAGCCCTAACAGACTTGCCTGCTGGCTGCAAAGGAGTGGCCTTAGGAATGCTGAGTACCCATGCTGTTCACTCAAGAGCTCACAACCTTTAGGAACCAGACCAAGTCTTTCTCCAAACTGAAACTAGCCTTGACCCCTGGTCCTGCCACAGCCCTGACGCCTGATCCAGAGTCACAGGACTGTCCTCTGTGTTCTGAGATACCCAGACAAGTTTGTCTGGGCACATTTCTGATCTCTGACCTCTGTGGTATCTGATATTCCCAGATATAAATGAGAAATTGTAGCCCAGAGCCCTTTGGTAGGGATGGAAGGTGTGTGGGTGGCCTACATAGCTGGGCACAGCCTGTCAGTAGGCAGGTATTGTTTCATGACAGCTAATTGCACTTCAGGATAAGTAGAGCCTTTCCCACCCCAGCTTGTTGAAGCTCTTGTCTTAGAACTTTGGGTTATGGGATGCTATTTAAATTGTAGGGTCATCCCAGGCATCCTTGTTGAACTGTCCAAATGATTAGCATAAGGGTTGGTTCTAAGGGTGGGAGTCAGAACTTGGGAGTTCTGTCTGCCAGCACTTCAGGGCCTAAGCAAAACTGGATGTGGGGGTGGAGGATGAGAGTGTTAAGGGTCAAAGATGTGTTATCAGGCCAGGAAGTGTTGGGAGGGCTTATATAGGCCAGATGAGCGGCTTTGTTCAGTGAGATGACCCTCTTCTGGCGCTGGGAGAGCCGGGGGTGTAAGGACTCCTAAGATTTGTGGACATCCTTCATCCTTCCTGGCCAAGTCCTGCACTATGTCTAGTATTCAGTGGGTAGGCTGGGAATCCCCCCATCCCACTCTGGGCCAAGGGACAGATGGGGGTGAATCTGCGGAGCTGTCCAGGAGTTGTAGTTGAGAACAAGTAAGGAAGTGACTTAAGTCTTGTGTTTCATGTTTGGATCTGGGAGGTGGGTAGGTATCGGCCTGAGAAGGGGATTCTGGGAAAAGATCAGATGAGGGAACAGGAAGCAGTCAAAGGAGTACTTCCTGTATGGAGGACTCCAGATCAAGTGCTTCAAGATGGAAGTGTTTCACACTTCCTCCCTCTCCCTCCCAGTCCATGAAGCCCCAGACAAGGCTCTCTCCAGTATCTTCACACCCAGGCTTTATTGAAGCATGAGCACTAATAGGTTACAGATGTGTAGTCTCAGGCATTCTCCCCTGTGGCCCACACACAGCCCAGCACCAGACTCCTGTTCCTTCCCCAAGTATACAGTAAATGATTTTTGAGACTCCTCCAACCCCATTTCCTTCAGCTCAAACCCCAGGGGTATGAGCCCACATGTTGCCCCTGATCTTCTGACATGATTTCCATCCTTCCTTCTGTGGAAATGACAACTCTTCTTAAGGCTTCCTTGATCTTGGAGAAATCACTTGGCTCAATAGTACAGTCCTCTGGTGGATCTGAAGGCTGAAGGAATACATGGTTAAAGTCATCTTCTTTACTGGAAACAAAGCAAAGGGAAACTTGTCTTCTCAGCTGCAGGGCCTTGTAAGCTCCCATCTCCTAGGAAGTGACTCAGGGAGACCCTCCCAGCTTCTGTATTAGCAAGAGTATGGGCCCACCTATGATATTGAGACCTAGAGTCTGAGGACTATACAGAACTGTAGGAAGGAAGCAAAGAATGTATGCAGGCCCCACTGCTATCCCAGATAAGGTCATGAGGGTGAGCAAATAGGAGTCCACAGGACCACGCAAGCAGAGAGCAAAGACAGCACAGGTCAGTGGTGTCCCCACGTGGCCCCCTAAACTGCAGTCTCCTCACATTATAGGCTCCTCAAGGGACTCCTCAGCCCAGAAGAGGCTCCGAGGGTATAGCAATCTAGAACAGGCTTGGTTTTCCTTTTTCCTGATGAGTCAGTGACCAACCTATTTGTATTGTCTCAGACCTGCTCCACAGGAACCCTGGAAGGACACAGGCAGAGGCTCCCAGAAGTATCCTTGAATTGACACCCCCAACCCTGTACAGTTTGCTACTTCCCATTCTCCAACCTATCACAAAGAGATTTCTTTTGGTTTTGAGATGATCCCAAAGGATAACCATAGGGCTTGAATCCCTCACCTTGGAGGATGCAGGTAGTGTTCAGACAAAGGTTTGTGCCTTGCTGGACCCCAGGCAAGCAAATGGGGCCTCAAGTCCCCCTAAAAGCAAGCAGCAACTTACTTTCAGCTTCATGAAGATCTCTGTGAGGAGTTTCATGTCCTTATAAATCTTGGTTATGTGTGGGTCCTGCTTGTCACATCTCTCAGACAGCTCCTTCAGGGGAGAGGTGAAGTCCTTTGTAAACTTTTCATAGCAGAGCTCCTGAAACAGAGGTGGTGGGCCTACACAGTGACATACTACAGACACCCTCCTCACCCACCCCTGGTCACCCTGGCCTGATGGAGCCTTGGACAGAAGACTTTATGGGAGACCTGTGGATCCTGGAGGCCATGCAGTAGAAGCAATGAATTCCTCACCTCCCCTTGGATCTGGGGACTATGTTGGCATGGCAGCTGGAGAGCCTGTCAAAATTCAGCACTCAGCCACTGGCTCATCTATTGACTGAGTCAGAGGTTCAGTTCTCAAAGCCTCAGCATTTCCCATTCTTATCTCCATCCTGTTTGCTGACTGAGCCTTCCCCTCTCCCCCATCAAGCTATGGTCAGAAAGGCCAAAGATGTTAGGTGCCTCTCACTGGTATTCTAGGGTCTACTGAAGTAGCCCTGCAAAGAGAAGTTGGTCATGAAGGGTAACAGGTGTGAGTGTGTGTGGATTGATGGGCAGTCAGACTTACGTGGTATATCTTCTTCTCCTCAGTTCTTGCTGAATCTCAGCACAGAGGTCATGTGATTTTTCTGGAGAGCCATGGTAGCTACCTTCAGTTGGTGCACAATGGCTTTCTGACCCCCAAAGTACAAAATCCAGGAATCAGAGGTGACTCATAGTAAATCTGAGCTTGTCTCCTTTGACAGTATTGCAGTGGAAGGGCCCCTATATACACACATGAGATGCCTCTTATCAATGGCTTCTAAAGAAGACAGAAGGGACCTTATTGCTGGGTGAGACTTGCTTTTTATGCATTTTGATATCATACCACACTCCATGGATCCTTCTGTTCGTTGAGATTCGGGGTTGCCCTAAGAATTTGTATTCACAATTGCAAATGGTGTTATGGCCTTTTTTTTTTTTTTTTTTTTTTTTTTTTTTTTTTGCCTGAGGTGGGTGTCTGGCTGGGACTGAGCCATCATGCTGGAACACAGTGAGTGATCAATCCTGGTACCTATAGGGGCCTTAAACTGCAGACAGCAAGCTTCCTCAAGTCACCTGCAGGAAGAAGGCTGGTCCCATTGCCCAACCCCCAGCTTTGGGAACACACTTCCTGGTGGTCCTCAGGGTAACACTTTGGGGACAAGACCTTCAGCCTGGCAAAGACAGATAACTATATTTCTCTCAGCCCCAAGGCAGTGGATTTTAGTAGAAAATACCATTGAGAATAAAAATTTAATGGGAAAACAAAAACCTGTTAAGAAAAGTGCCATGGATAGCTATGCCCCAACGCACACCAAACTGACATTCTGACAGCTAAAGATTAAGATCACCATTTGGGGGAAAGTTGGGGAAATATGCTGAGCTCTGACCCCTGTGGTTTAGTTTCTTTTTCTCTGGACAGTTGTCTATTTGCTGGTTTACTTTAAGAGTAAGGCATCACTTAAGTGTAAGGGCAGAACAGAGACACAGGGTCCATGGCCTCAAGAGGGGACAGTAGTTTTGCTGGATACCAGGGTTGACTTGTTTAGACAGTGACCACAAATCCCAGAAGCCCCTTAGTTCCTAGAAACAATGACACCCCTCCTCTGGGCCAGGTCTGTGGACTGGTTACTTCAACTTCCTGGTGAACTCTGAGTCCTTTCTCTGGGGCAGACGCTCCTGAGCACCCCATAAAGCCAACAAAGGCATCTGCGTACTGCACACAGGACCTTGATCTCGCCTCCCTTTGACCATCACAGCATTAGACCTCATCGGTTTCCTACTTCCACAGCTACCCGTCCCCATCCAAATTCCTCCCCTCTTAAAAATAAACCAGATAAACCACAAACACAAGTTTTAATAATTTATTATTATGGTAAGACATCCCAAATAAATATAGCTGTGAGCTTAAATAAATAAATAAATAAATATTTTAGAAATATATAAATACATAAATAAATATTACTGGTCCCTGTCAGTAGAAAATAGCCCTCACTTGCCCCCACTGCAGTGTTGGGGGGTCAGCCTTCTCAGTACTGCCCCTGCTGTGCAGTGGCTGTGACCCACTCTTGGCCCCTTCAAGGCAGAGCTCCTGATCGCTGGCTCATTCTGCAGGAGTAACAGCAGCACTCTGAGAAGCTGGATCCAGAGCCGGCCTGGGCCACCTCATTTCTGGTTGGGCTCCCAGCAGTCAAAGGGGATGTCAAACAGAAAGTCTTTAAGGCTGTCTATGAAATCTTCAAATGCGGTGACTTGTGTCTCACAGTTATCTTCCTGGAGGGGATGGGAGGGAAAAAAAGCGCTTGAGTCTAGGTGAGTAGGTGACACAGGGAAGCCGCTCTGTATTTCTTTGTGCCACTGAGAACTCAGAGGCCAGAAGCCCATTTGAAAGGATCAGGTGACACTACCGCTGCCTGTGTGCTGCCTAAGGCAGGGCAGATCTGCCAACGGCATCCGGGGCTTGTGCCCTAGCAGAAGGTCTGCCTCTGTTCTTTAGATTAGTTGGGCAGCCTCTTTGGGTCCAGGTGAAAGGCAAGCAGCCAACCTGAGGGCATCTCCTCACCTACAAAAAGGCACAGGGCTCACTCTTCCATGAGGAAGGAAAAGGGGAATGTTTGGAGTGTCTGCCCCTTCTAGGAGCCCCATCCTTGTATCCATTCAGTACAGGCACCCCATGGGGAAGTCTTGCCAGGAAGTGGTGCCTAGGAGCTGGCTCTTCTCCTGGGCTTGGGCAGGCTCTGAGTTTCCTTGGGTTTGCCTCACCTCTGACCTCATGACTGACAATGACAAGGGCAGGTAGCTCCTGCTGAGGGAAGCAGAGGGCTCTGCTGCTGTTCAGCTGAGCCTCTAGGGATGAATAGGAGCCCTGGCCTGTTCTGAGGGGCTCCTGTGAAACATCTAATGACACAGAAGCCACTTGTTGGGATCCTCACTAGCTCCACCCTCCCAGACTAACACATTCCTGCCCAGCGCCCTTATGCTGTGCACTCACCGGGGTTTCGGGGCAATTCTTCTGGTAGTGGCTGGCCATCATGTTCAAGGCACCTGTGAGTTTGGTGAAGTTGCCCCTTAGGCCCTTCTGATATAACCTCAGGCGGGTCTGCACACACGTTGGACTCTGTGAAAAGTACCCATCCATTGATAAGCTGCCCTCTCTCCACCCCTTTCTGTCCCCACTAAATGGCACAGAAAGGGGCTAGTCATAACACTGTCTGACCACTGTCCTTCTCCCTGGCTGGCCCAGGCTGCCCTCAACTGGCACAACCACATTTCATAGACGGTTACCTCAAGAGGTCCGCAGTCCTGAGCTCCCCAACTTTACAAGCAAAGGCTGCTTGCTACCTTTCTAGAAGGGGTTAGATAGGGTGGGGAAATCTCCCAAACCTCTTTGTGGATAAGCATTGTTCCAGAAAGCCCTCTGTGCCCCTCGATAGTCAATATCCTCTCTCCATGGTCACAGGGTACAGTGAAGACTCCAAGGCAACAAGACCATCTCATAAAGTGACTCTCACCTTCCCATCATCCCCTGCAGATACCTGACCTTTGAATGCTAGCTCTGCTCAAACTTATTGCTCAGTTGATAAAAGAGTGTGCATGACTGCCGCAGGGGCATGCCCATGGACAATAAAAGAGTGTACGTGACTGCCACAGAGGAATGGCTATGGACATTTTGACTACCCAGACTCTGCCCCCTCCCCCTTGGCAGTCAGCGGACAGGGAAGAGTTAAGACAACCTTGTAAGGGGCTGTTTAAAACAGTCCTTCAGGGACCCGTGAAGCTCCATCAGAAAGAAGCAGCTTACCTTGATGGAGAACTCTTTAGAGACCATTTCTACTTCCACACCTTCATTCTGTAAAGGGAAAGTGCCATGTTACCAAGCTGATAGGCAGGGCCAGGCAGGGGGCCAGCGGGCAGCCTGGAAACAGCCAAACTCTCTCCCTCACTCACCTCCACGACCGGGGTGTCATTCAGGAAGCTCAGGGCTTCTTTAATGGCATCTACATGCTTCCAAGGCCGTGTGACAAGGGCAGGTGAGCGAGTGGGTGCAGAAAAGCTACAGACCACAATGCCAAGGAAAAGTAAGATCTGCAGCCACATCCTCCTCAGGACCTTAGCCTTTCTCTCTGAGTACTGGGCTCACTGCAAAAGAGCTCTTATATACACAGTTAGAGGAAATGATTAATGGTGACCACAGAACTCCAGGGGGGTGGGGGAACTACCTGAGTTGTGGAATCTCCTGGCCCTTATCAGCTACACATGGGGCTAGTGAGCCTTCCCTCAGGTTGTCAGGCTTGGGGGTTTTCATTAATGAGCCTTTCCAAGAACTGGCAGCCCACCTGCCCCTCTTGCTTGAGGGCCTCTCCTGCCCTGCCTGGGCAGTCTGACCCAGCCTCTGGCTATCCTCTCCTTCTGAGGGGCCTCTAGGCAAATTTGAACTTCCTGGCCTGGAGTGGCTGGGGCGGGGCTTGGGAGACACCAAGTGGGGCTCCTGCTTCCATGCCTCCTGCTGTCCCTGGAGGCCTCTAGGCAAGCGATAACTTCTCTATAACTTCTCTGGTGGCTCATTCCAGCCCCAGCCTGGACCATTCTCTCCCCAGCCTTCTGAGTTCAGACCTCTCACAGGCTCATCCCACTATCTAACTGGACAAAATCCTACCAAATGGCACAGTTCTATCATGTTCTCAGCAGACTCCCACTGAGGGCACATCGTCATGGGCAAACTCAACCCTCCCTCCCCAACCCCATCCTCCTGACCATCCCAATTGATTCTACAGTCCTAGTTCACAAAGGCATATTCAATCCTAAAGGTTCACAGCTTGTCTGGAGCTCCAAGCTGGGGCAAGTCAGGCCCCCCCTAAGCTGACTGCTGATTCTGGCCCTCTGAGTTATGCAAGCCTCTTTGCCCTCTTCAGGTCAGCCTCCCCTTCAGAGAGGGCATACCATGGCACCCTGTCCCACTAGTGAGCACCCGGAGTCTCTGAGGCTGACTGCAACATGGAGCTGCTGCCTGGTACCAGGCACAGAGACCTCTGGCTTTTCAAGCAAGTTCTCCCAGGCTTAGTTGCCTGCACAGCCCCTTGCTCCAGCCCACCTCCCTCTCCAGACCTTTCTATGGAAGCAGGAACTGATCTTGGAAAAACAGCAGGCTCTTGAGGGGCTGACAAGTGTTTGCTTTTCACAATGGTTTCTGGAGAAGACAGCACGAGTTTATGTTTGCACAAGGGATCCAGCCCATGCCTCCCATGCAGGAAGTTTGAAGCCATGGGGCTGCATATGGCTATCTGTGTACGCTGGTGGGGTTGGATATACATGTACTCGCAGGGATGTGTCAGGGTAGGAGGTTTTACTTAAGGGTGCATGTAACTTGAGCCCTGCTTATTGCACCTGTTCGGTGAGAGCCTTTGGGCTTGTGGCAGTGCCCTTCTGATATGAGAGGAGGCCTCTAGGCTAAGCAACATGCTTTTAGGGCCCAAGAAGCTGATTCAGTGGACTGTTGAAATCAAACACAAGTGAGAACTTTCAGAGTCAGATAACAGGTAGAACTCAGGACAGCGCCTCAAGAATCATTTAGAAGGAAAGACCGAGGGTCAGAATGGTGGTTTTGAAGAACTAAAGACATGTTTCCTGGGCCCCGCATAAGGCAGGATGGTGGCCAAGAGCCTTGGGGAATGGCAGAATCAGGGAAAGCAGTGGCCATGGAGGAAAGACTCATGCCAGGACATGGTCTACAGGTACCAAAATTGGTGCATATGGGGCAGAGCTCCAAGGGTTTGGGGATGCAGTTTGTGGTCAGATATGTATCTTTCTCCTAGAAAGATGACATCAGGGTGGGGGCGGTGACACGGGCAGGGATTCCTAGATTGCATGTGTGGAAAGAAGCGGCAATAGTATCAGACAGCCATGCTGACTCAAGGACCTCCATGGGGCTGCGGCAGGGCGGAGGTGGAGACCAGATGGGTGGAGGGATCCCTCTTTGGCCTCCCTGCCTACAAGAACCTTCTGGAAGGAGTTTCCTGGGAGTGTCCCTTGACATAGGCCCTGGGGGAAGCCAGAAGCATGTGGCTGCCCCAGGGGATCCTTATCACAAGAGGAAGTCTTCAGTGAGAAAGGAAATGGGCCCCAAAGTCCCTTGCATCCCACGGGACAGACACATGAGCATCTAAGATGGTCTGGCTCATCCTTGTGACTGACAATCCTTAGGGAGGTCTTTGTCCTCCATGGGACTACTTTCAGCTCAGTTCACAGCAAGATGACAGCAGAGCCAGGTCCCGAACTCATGCCTATCCCTGCACATGGATGCGTTCTACTACCCGCCCACCCCCAGGGGCAGACTCGGGAAATTCTGGTCACTTGCCTGGTCTAGAAAGAGAGATACACTTCTGCATTGGCAGGAAGATAGGAGTGCACTGTGACTGCCCCAAGGGCATCTTAGAGCTGAGAGAATTTCCCAGCAGATTCTGCCATCTATCTTAATATTGCTATGCCCCAGGCTTGGGCTCTTGTCTCCCTGCTCAGCTACCATGAATTCTGGAATATCCCAGGAAAGTACCCCTCCCTGACTTTCATTGCATCATCTACTTGATGGATGCTGTGTCTGCCTTAGGAAAGTTTGTAGGAAGACTTTCCCAGGGGAGGCAGTGTCCTGCTACCTTCCCCATCCTGGGGAAGTCCTAACCTGGCAGAAGACCCAGAATTTCGGGAATATTCAAGGACTGCTGTGCCTCGTCCTGTCCTGGCCCCCAGGAACATGTTTCTGGACAAATGCTGTAAAGTAAAAAACCAGCTTACAGGCAGAGTCAGAGCTTATGGAGTCTTGTCATTCTGATGGCCATGATACCATACACCACCCTGGATGGCTTGTGCTTCCTTGAGATTTGGTCTTATCCCTCCCTGCCACACCAGACACATAGATCCACAACTCCAGTCTTTGGTGTGTCCACTCCAAGATGACCCCTCTCACACTCTCTGCCCTGCCCCCCCCAATACATTTTAAAAGGCCAAGTTTCCCTCTAGTTCTGTCCCAGCTACCTGGCTAGCTTCAGGTTTCTGGCACTGATGACTCCTAATGAATATGGGAGGACCCAATGGTCCATTCAGCCAAGCCTCCAGGAGGGTGTACAATTATGCTCTTAGCTCTCAGGGAGATCATGTCTATGTCCCTATGGGATAGAGGACAGGGGCCACCAGGCCTAGAGTCACAGGCACATGGTTGAAAGTGGCAATGAAGATATACACAAAAATCAAACAGCCACGCAGAAAGCCGTGGAATGAGAGTAAATGGGGCAGATAGTGAAGGAGGTGTCTCTGAAGCTCAGGGCCCAGGTCAGCCAGCTGGGTTAGAGATCATTGGCTTCACTGGGGGAAATACAAACTAGCAGTAAAGTTTGGGCTGACAGCCAGACAAGACTGGATGAGGCAAAGGCACACAACCCATGAAAGCACCAGGTCTGCCTCCCACAAGGCCCTCTCACTGCCTGGGCTTTCTCTTTATCCAGGGTTCTCTCTCCAGGGTCAGGAATGTGCCCCACCCCTGAATCTCTGCCCTAAGCCTTATCACCAACTGAGAGGCCATGGGACACCCAGAGCCCTCCTTGACAGAGTCACTGGGAGTACATGGAGGAGAAATGAGGCTAGAAGACATTACAACTTCTCAGAGTGCAGGGGGAGTCACAGACTCTTGATTGGCTCTGATGCCTGCCAGCTTCAGGAGCTGAGGGGCCACAACTAAAGCAGCAATTTTTGCTTTATATTTTTCAGCAGGACAATGTCCTGGAAGGAGCCATTCACAGGACTGTTTGGGTCTTCCAGGATCCCTCACTGTCCCTAAGCCCCTGTCTGATCCAGCACGCCAACTGCCTCTCAGGATATCATGTCCCAGAAGTCTTGGCCTTGAACTTTGGTTCATAGGACCCTTGTCTCTGGACACCCATCCCCATCCTGACCGCTGTCGGTGTCCTTTTGACACCTCCCCTGAGTCCCTATGATGCCTCACATGGGTAAAGCCCACCTGTAACACTCCAGCTGAAGGCCAACAGAGGTTATAAAAAGCAACCATAAATCGGGAGTGCCTGTTGGTGGCAGGGAAGGGTCCTTGGGGGTACCTATTGGTGGCAGGATAGGGTCATCCCATCCCTAGGGCAACCAGCTCCTAACTGTTTCTCTCTAAATACACACCAGTTCCCATACTCCTGGACTATGTGTGACTCAGTAGGGGGTGCCACATCCCTAGGGGTGCCCACCCCTAGAATCCTCAGCCTTGATTGTCATAGAAGCAGAGCTGCAGGTACAGACCTGCCTTCAGGCCTAGCCACTGGGCTACAGAACCATTTTCCTTCTCAGAGCCCAACCTTCATCTTCACAGGGGGATGGAGACCTCTGAAGGCCACCAAGCCATATTTTTATTACTGCACTCACCACAAATCATGAGACCAGGACACAAAATGCATCACAACATATGCCCACAGAAGGGAAGGAAGAAGGGAGGCCCATGTCCTGCTGACAGACATGAACCCCTAGTGTCTGTCCTCCTCTCCATGTCCCAAGCTCCCTGCTCAAGAGGCTCCCTGTGGCCACATTTGTCTGTGCTGCCTGGACTGGTCTGTTCGACAACCCTAGGCATTCCTAGCATGGCTCAGCTGGAGCACTTACTGAAGGAAGTCCCAACAGTCAACTTTGGAGGACAATAAGATGTCCCAAGGCTAGGATTCTATACCCCCTGGGGATCATGGAGTCCCCAGAGAGGTGGAAATGACTGCATGACCCAGTCTGGAAGCAGAAGGTGAACCTGGGGTCTTCAGAGGCTGTGTGAGAAATAGAGGAAGCCATGGCTGCCAGTGACAGTAGGGATTGCGATGAGCTAATGAACAGTGTCTCTCAGAGGCAAGAAGGGGGAGCTGAAGATACAGAGGAGATCACAGAGGGAGCTAAACTCTGGTGTAAGAGGACACAGGGAAGTAGAAAAGGGGGAGGGAAAAATCACATTAAAATGTATATGGCGGTGGGCCGGAGAATGCAGGAGCTGAGTGGCAGATGTACACTCAGCCTGCAACACAGAGGATGTGGTATTTCACAAAATGTCTGTGGGGACCCGTGTCCAGGCCGGAGGAGGGCCCTGGGTCAGATGAAAGGCCCTTGTACCTT